TATAAAATTTGAAAATAGCAACCGCATATCATGACGTTATTATAAAACCATATAAAGAGTGATATATGATATAAATATATGGGAATATATTATATATATATATATACAGGTGTCCATAAAGTTCGTGTCCAATTTAAAAAATTTATAACTTTATTTGTATTTGCGATAGAAATAATCTGTAAAAAAATGTTATAAAGTTTAATGTACCTAGTTTTAAGTATACCTAAAATAACTAATGTGATTTCAGGCATTACTGTAAATCAGTTGGCAAATGTTTTCCGTGAACTGCAAAATCGTATTACCCTTTGTATTGCTAATGATGGAGGACATGTGGAAACTTAAATAAAATTTCAATAAAACTTAAAAAAAATATAGATTTACTTCTTTCTAATCCTTTTTACAATTTATTTATATCGCAAATACAAATAAAGTTATAATTTTTAAAGTGCACATGAATTATATTATGGACACTGTATATATATATATATATATATATATATATATATATATATATATATATATATATATAATATATATAATAGACCCACTCGTATTTGAAGATACCCGTTAACTAAATTTTTTTAATCCCTATTGCAGACGCTCGCTCAGGCACATTTTTGAGTTTGCTCAAAATCCACAGAATCCACCTATGTTTTATACTGCAACTATGCTGAGCAGACCTTAGTTACAGTTCCTGGAAGAGAGCGTGTTATCTAGCGTGATCTCAACAAAGGCAACACACTCAAAACCTGGGTCACAATAACTTGTAGCTTTGTGTTTGCACAGCTATCAACAGTTCCGTCTACCCAATTTCACTCACAAGGCTTGGGTCAAACCGCGGTATGGTTTTCAATATTTAATAATGATGACGCAAATGTGATCGACCTCGATCCATTATATGACATCAAAATTCTCCTTCCTGACAAATTCCTTATATGGTGAGATTGATATTGGGTCTCATTGTTGAAAATATACATATATATTACAAAAAATTAAAATGTAAACAAGGATATCGTGAAAATACTAAACAGCAAATCTATTTAATAAAATCGCCATTGGTTTCAACCACACCCTCCAGACGACTTCGGAATCTCCTGTAACTCTTCTAGACAGTCTCCTTGTTTAGGATTTAAAATGAATGCTCCTGAGATCATTGCATTCAGTACATTTTGGTGTTACAAAGTTTTTTGGTTTCTGCTCAACTGCATTACACAATAATAATCAATGGTGTTGCAATCTAGATATAATTATGTGAATAGATGTAAGAGGTGATGACAAGGTTCTCCTGAAAATAAACATGGTTTCAGTGTCCATGGAAATTATTTTGTTTTTAGTAAATCCAGGTAGTAGCGGAGACGAATATTTAAATGCGAATCGAAATATGCTTTTTTAGGAAAAAATTTCCATGCCTGAGGATGACTGTGAATACAGTTGAAAGTACTGTTAGATTAAAAAATGACCTTATACAAATTGGAGTTATAAAAACAAGGATCATAACATTCAAAAGGGGTTTGTAGGGTAATGCATATTTTAAAATTTTGTTTGCGAGGATTTTTTCTTATTTTATATCATTAACATTACTAATCTACTTTTTGTATGAATGATTCATCGTAATATAAATTGAAATGTACCACACACACACACATATATATATATATATATATATATATATATATATATATATATATAAAAAAAAGGCTTAAACACTAATATTCCATGGTCATAATTTATTACATTGGAATCGTAAATACGATCCAAATCATCAGACCTACAAATTCAAAATGAAAAACAAAAAAACAACTATGGAAATAAAAAAACGAATTTAGAGAAAGAGTAAGTATGAGGAGGGGGGACATGAAACCTTAACAGAGAGAATTTTTAGGAGATGTGGGTGAGGGGGGGAATTTAAAAAGAGGAGAGAAAGAAAGTCGACGGATGTCTAATGCATAAAGATACATTTTGGTGACATACATACATCACAGACAAATAGAAGTTAGGATAGGAGGTAGGAGAAAAAAAAAGAAGAGGTGGGGGGAGAGATATGGGACGAAGGGAAATAAAATTGTGTTTACTAAAAAGGGCCGCTTTGTAATTGAGAAAATTAATAGACATCCAGGTTAGAAATCAAATATAAATATATGAAGGTGAATATAAAGATTGTCTTATTTAGCAAGGACCAAATATTTCTATGTTTAAAACACATACCAATACACACAAAAAAAAAATACAAGTAGGTATCTACATACACTTAGGCATGTACACACACACACACCCAGACATACGTGTACATATACATGCACATACATACATACATATATATATATATATAATATATAAAATATATTATATATATATATATATTATATATATATATATATATATATATATAAAAAGATTTTGTGTTTAACCGGGTCAACAATTTGAAGAGGGGGCTGAAAAGGAATTATATAATAAATAATATTATTGTAATAATTTAAACTATTTATTTTCATTAAAGTTTTTATCAAAATATATATTAAATATAAAATATATCATAAATAGTAAAAACGTTGCTGAGAGTTAAATGATGGAAGTATATGGAGAGCCATTGTCACCAACAATTTGGACTCAAAACTGGCACGGAAGAATTAACCGTCAAAAAAAAAAAAAAAATTTTTCGGAAAAATGTGGAAATGCATAAACAAATTTTGAGAAATGGATATAATACATCAGTCTGTATCCATATATATGATCTTTTACAGATCTATGCCGAAGTTTCTTTAAATATGTCTGTTTCTTTCACTAAAATTCTTTTTTTCTTTCTAAAAAATTATTCTTTCTTTCTTTCTAAATAATTTTCTTTTTTTTTCATTTCTTCGTTACTTTATTCTATTCTATATTTATAAAGTTTTTTATATTTCTTTATTCTTTTCAATTTTTACATAAAAAATTTCTTCTGAATGTTTTACACATATTAATTTTCTTTCTTTCAATGTCAGTTTTTTTCTTTCTTTCTTTCTTTCAATGTCAGTTTTTTTTTTTTCTTTCTTTCAATGAAACAAACATAAAAATTTCTTTCAAAATTTCATTTTTTTTTTTTTTCTGTCAATGTATTTCTTTTTTCAGAGATATCAAAGTGTCAAACATTTTTTTTTCCAAATGTTCAATGTTTCTTTTTTTCTTTCAATGTCTGTTTTTTTTTTTTCAATGTCTTTTTATATTTAATTCTTTCAATATTATTCAATTTTTCTTTTTTCAATGTCTTTTTTCTTTTTCAAACTGTTTTTTTCTTTTTTCAATGTATGTTTTTTTTTTCTTTTAATGTTTTTTTTCTTTTCCAATTTGTCTGTTTCTTTCTTTCTTTCAATGTCTGTTTCTTTCTTTCTTTCAATGTCTGTTTCTTTCTTTCTTTCAATGTCTGTTAGAGTTTTTTTTTCAATTCTTTTTTTCTTTCTTTTTTTTTTTTCTATTTCTTTCAATGTCTGTTTTTTTTTCAAAATGTCTGTTTTTTTATTTTTCAATGTTTTTTTTTCTTTCATTTTTTTTCTTTTTCAATGTCTGTTTTGGCTTTTTTTCAATGTATATATTTTTTTCTTTCAATTTCAATTTTTTTTTTTTTTTTTTTTCTTTTTATGTCTATTTTTTTTTCTTTCAATGTCTGTTTTTTTTTCTTTCTTAAAAATCTTATTCTCAATAATGTCTGTTTTTTTCTTTCTATTCAAAAAAAATTTTTTCGTTTTCTTTTTCAAAAAATTTTTCTTTTTTTTCTTTCAATGTCTGTTTATTTTTTTTTTTTTTCAATTATGTTTCTTTCTTTCTTTCAATGTCTGTTTTAGCTTTTTTTAATGTCTAATTTATTTTTCAATGTCTGTTTCTTTTTACTTTCTTTTTTTTTTTTTTTTTTATTATCTTTTTATTCATTCAATGTCTGTTTCTTTTTTCTTTTCAATGTCTGTTTCTTTTTTTTCTTTCAATGTCTGTTTTTTTTTAAACAGAAATTCTGTTTCTTTTATTCTTTGTCTCTATTATTTTTCATTCAATTCCAATTCAATTTCTGTTATTTTTCTTTCAATTAGGAATTTTCTTTCTTTTTAAATGTCAATTAGGACTTTCTTTTCAATGTCTTTTTTTTAGACTTTCAATGTAAATCTTTTTTATTCTAATAGTAGTATTTTTTATCTGGGACATGTTAGTACAAGACTGAAATTTATCTATCTTAGGTGATTTTCTGGATTTCAGATATTTCTCAGTGAAAAAATTTTTGCCTGTATCTATTTAAATTCAAACCGATTCCATCCATCATGTTTTTTAACTCTCAATTGCGTGAAACTGCAAATCCTTACAGTGACATTTACTTTTGTTCATTTATCTTCGAGAAGAAGCGTTTTTGCAACACTGAAGTCTGCGATGCCGCATTTTCAACAACACCGACCCTCACCCACCCCGATTTTTCTTCACGGATTTCTGTATTCTCTCAAACAATACAGATATGGATGCGACATATCATTTCGAAAAAGGAAGAAATTCGGTTCATTGTTGCTTGAATAGGATTTTAAGAGTTTATGTTTGTTTGCTTCCGATGTAAAAATGTAATATTTCTCGTGATATTCCTTTTCTTCTTTAATGTTCACACAATACCAAACCCAAGAATCACACAATGTAAAGTAAGGTTCTATGGACGTAAGCGGGGGGAAGTAAAGGCAGATTATTAGGTTATAGGGGAGATAACAGTTATATTGAGTGAATAATTTGTTTTTATTTTTTACAGTTTATCAACCTTTTGCAGGTTATTTAACGCCTGAAAATATTTTTAGATTCTAAGATTTTTTAATAATTATTTAGTAAGACTTGTATAAGTCTTACTAATTGACACATGACTGAGGTGGGGAAGAGGTGGATTCATGCCTTTCCATGCCGTATTTGCGCGTAAGTGAATATAATGAACCTGACTGGAATTGGAACTAGGCTCTCTGATTTCCAATTCTGAGCAGATATCCTTTACACCACCTGCCCATCCAACCTTACAGCACCTTATATTCCCAAGCGGTCACTCGTCTAGGTACTGACCAGGCTTGATCTTGCCTAACTTCAGTGATCGTACGAGAACTGATCTTTCAAAGTGATATAGCCGTAAATCGGTCGACCCTGAAGAGTTAATCTCTGTAAAATCTTATACGGTAAACACTAGACATTTTTACGGTATAAACAAACATTAGCCTACAAAAATTCAACCTCAAAAAATTTTAGATTGTAAAACATTAAACAGCTTCAAAAAATTATATATGATTTACTTATACAAGTCTTACTAATTACACATGACTGAGGTGGGGAAGAGGAGGATTCATGCCTTTCCAAAGGGTATTTGCGTGTAAGTGAATATAATGAACCTGATTGGAACTGGATACACCAACTCTCCGATCTCCAATACCGAGCCGTTATCCATTACACCATCCGCATACCAAAGCTTACAGCACCCTGTATTCCCAAGCGGTCACCCATCCAGATATTGACCAGGCTCGATCTTGCCTAAATCCAGTGATCGTACCAGAACTGCTCTTTGAACGTGATATGGCCGTCAACCGGTTGACCCTAGATTTGAAGAGTTAATACCTGCAAAATCTGATAAACACTAGGTCGTAAAATCAGTATGCACTAAACTCTAGCTTGTAAAATCTTATACCCTAAAGACTAATCTGTAAAACTATATGCCCTAAACACTAGCTTCAAAAATCATTTATCCTAAATACTATCTTGTAAAATACTCTACTCTAAATACTAGATTATAACATCCTATGCACTAAATGCTATTCTAAACACCAGGTTGTACAATCACTGTTGTAAACACTAGCACTAATGAAATCTTTATGCCCTAAATGTGCGTTATGGTATATTGGATATGGGTCAGTCTGTCAGTTATGTGCCATGCGTGAGACACGCTTAGGCGATTATGACTGATGAGCAATTTTTTCCCGCAGTAGATTGCCATTTCTTTCTGCGGTAAACCAGTTGCCATCCAAGGCTATAGAACCCGGTCTGTCATGCTATTTTACCCATAGCTGGGGGAGAAGAAGAGGATCCATAGCTTTCTCAAGGGTATTAGCACATAAGTGAATGTAATGGATTTGACTGAAATTCGAACTTGACTCTCCGATTTCTCAATCCGAGCCGATATCCACTACTTCACAGTGGATATCGGTACTGAATGAGAAATCAGAGAACGGAATTCGAATTCCAGTCGAGTTCGTTTCATTCACGCACAAATAACCGTGGGAAAGGTATGAATCCATTTCTTCTCCTCCAATCTATGGATTGAATAGCAGGACGGACTGGATCCAATAGTCTTAGTTGGCAACCAGTCTAACGCAGAAAGAAATGGCAACTTACTGCGGGGAAACCTTCTGCCAGTCATGAATCGAAAGAGTCATGATCGCCTCAGCTTGTATCACGCACTGCACTTGTAAAATATATGTCTATATCTCTGAGATGAGGTATTATGATTACTTATTTTATTTACATTATCCTCATCTTTATTGCCATATTCGCAACGTTTTGCCTGTTTTACGCTTCAGCCTTCTTCAGGTGATTGGAATTTCGAAACGAACCCTTTATTTCGTGCTTTTGATATGTGCTGATTCCTTCATCGTGAAGCGGTAACACGGGGGGGTGGAATAGAAAAATCAGGTGTAGCTGACCACATATGGAAGGAAAAGGGGGATCACCGCCCCCGTGGGATGAGATTGAAATAATAGACAGAGAACATCGCTGGAAAATATGAAAACTTAAGGAATCGGCACATGCTAGGCCACAAAAGTCTTCTGAAACGAATAATCATGAAAATGAATACAATATGGAAACCAGTAATGAGTGCGAAAGAAAAGCAATGAATAAAAACAAATAATTGTAATATGAGCTCTGGTAAAAAAAATGAAATAATAATAACCAAAAATTGCAATATGAGCACTGGTAAAAATTAGGTGCTGATACATTATTGGTTAGATCCAGTGACTAGACCCAAAGAGTTGTGAGTTCAATACCAGGCTACAGCAGTGGTGAACAAAACATGAAGAGTTGAGTTAAAGGGAAATAACTGAGACATCCGGAAGAAGCATGGCACGTGGAAATAGAATAATCTTCCCCGGTGGACGAAATAAAGGGTTAGATTCGAAGTTCCAATCAGCTGAAGAATGCCAGAGCGTACAACGACCGAAACGTCGTTAATATGGCAATGAAGATGAGTATAACAGTCTGAATAATGTACATAATGTAACTTGCTTGTAAAATATAATATCCTAAAGTTTGGCTAGTAACATCTAAAGGAAAGCGAGTGAAAGATCGTAACACACCGACAAATACGGGTCGAAACCTGAATTAATATCTCCGACATTTTGGGGCCGATTATTAGATTGCTACGTACGATAGATAACACAAAACAATTCAGGGTCAAGAACCAAAAATTGAACGTTAATTTTTCAAATACCAGACAACTTCCTCTTCGACCTTTCTGCATTCAATCGAACTGGTGTTTACTCACTGATTATCGAACAATCGTCTTGTAAACCATGCTCGGATCGATCGGATCGATTTTTAAGTCTGCCAATATTTGTCTCTTATTTGCTTTTATGTGATGTCTGGACTGCGATATTAAGAATAAACGTTCAAGATTTAAATATCTTGGAAGTATTTTAGCAGAAGACAGAAAATGTAGCAACGTAATCCGAAAGTGCATTGGAATAGCGAAAATTGCCTTCAAGAAGCTAAGCAAAGTATTAAGAAAGAGAAATATTTCGTTGAAAACAAAGAAAAGAGCGCTGAACTGTTATTTGATATCAATCCTGCAATACAGCAGTGAATGTCTCCTCGCAGTTGAAAAAGAGAAGATAACAGAAATGTCGTTTTACAGAAGGGTCCTGAGAATATCATGGATTGAATACGTGAGCAAAAGAAAGGTTTCGAAATAAAAAGGAAACAAAAAGCACATTTATTTCTTTCTAGGTCATATAATGAGGAAAAGGGGCTCGAAGAATTTGACACTCACAGGACAAGATGTAAGAGAGAAAGCAGCAAATAACGTACCTAACCAGCTTGTGGAAATGAATGTCAAAACGGGGACTAGAAGGGATAGCAAAAAGATAATCCTTACTCAGAGCTACGAAAGACACGAAGTTGAGGAGAGCCATGATCGCCCACGACCTGAAGGGACATGGCACATAGACATTGTTGTTAGCTTTCTTTTTACAATAAATCGATCTAAGGGTGGTCCGAAAGTCTTCTCATTGCTTCTAAAATTTAGGAACTCATGTCAGTCATCTGAAATAGAAAATTATATTATGTAGGGGTGACAAGACTTTTTTCAAAGTTCTGTAAGTGGTTGACGGGACGTAAGAATTAAAACCTGGATATTCATGATCATCTTCTATGTGCCGTGTCTGTTCAAGACGTTTGTGATCATGACTCTCCACTGTTTCGATCCTCTGCAGCTCCTAATAAATTTTGTCTTTTGTTTTCTGTTAATGATTTGCTTAGTTTTTTTCTCTTCTGTTTTTTTATGCTTTGCTGAGGATTTGGAAGGCATCTTTCGTTATCTCAATGCGCCTTCGGACTTCAGTTTCACGCTTTCCGACTTCTTTTAAAACACTTCTCAGATATTTAAATTGTTCTACTTGTTTTATTTTGGTCTCTCCAAGTTTTTAATTTGCATGTTGGGGTTTATCCTTTTACTGACAACCATGCATTCTGTCTTCTTACAATTGATGTTCAGCCATTTCCTCTTCTTTTCCATCACTACCTTCTGTAGGAATTCTTAGAGTTCCCTTTGTGTCTGCTATCAACATCGTGTCATCTGTATATCGTGTGTTGTTAAGTAGCTGCCAATAATGAATCCTGGTAGGACTTCTAATTCTATCAGAATCATATCATGGTATAGTTTAAATAAATCTGGTGAGAAGACGCATCCTTTCTATTTTTGTATATTTACGGAATTCATTTTCTCTGTGTATGCAAGTGGTCTAATGCTAGTAAAGATTCTGGATTATTCTAATATCCTTTCCAAATACGTCAAGCTTACCTAGTAGTTCAAGCAGTTCTTTGTAACTTGGTGTAAACAATCAATCAAAATAAGATAGTAAAAATTCTAGGTACCATAGTGAAGAGTTCATCCAAACAATTACCATGAAATTTACTTTAAAACTTCATTTTTCACATGTTAAATCGATGGTATTCTCAGCATCCTTCTGTAGAAGGATTTTTGTTGCTTCAAGTCTTTTCTTCATCTATAGGGAGATTCTTCAGTATTCACTTGCATACAGGACGACTGATATTACATAAGTTGAGTACTATTTCCATTGCTTCTAATCAATTTTTTCTGTTTCTTAATACTTTGCTTAGCTTTTAGAAAGCATCTTTCGCTATCCTAATGCACATTTGAATTTCTGTGTCACATTTTCTATTTCTTTTAACACACTTTCCAGGTATTTAAATTGTTGTACTTGTTTTATTTTGGTCTCTCCAGTTTTTTAATTTGCATGTTGGGGGTCATCCTTTTGCTGACAACCATGCATTCTGTCTTCTTGCAATTGATGTTCAGTCATTTCCACTTCTTTTTCTTCACTACCTTCTGTAGGAATTCTTAGAGTTTCCTCTGTGTCTGCTATTAACATCGTGTCATCTATATATCTTATGTTGTTAAGTAGCTGCCAATAATGAATCCTGGTAGGACTTCTATATCAGAATTGTATCATGGTATAGTTTAAATAAATCTGGTGAGAAGACACATCTTTTCTATTTTTGTATATTTACTGAATTCATTTTATATCCGTAAGCAGACGGTTTGCTCCCAATATAGGGCCTCGATTATTCTAATATCATTCCTAAATATGTCAAGTTTACCTAGAAGTTTCAGCAGAGTTTTTGACGTACTTTATCAAATGCTTTTGTATGATCTATAAAACACAGGTACACCTCTTTGTTCATTTGTATCGCTCTTTCTGATAACATTCTGAGCATAAATATTACATTCCTTGTTCCAGTGTCTTTGACGAACCCGCACTGTTCTTGTCCTACTTCCGGTCTGATTCTGCTATGCGCTCTATTCATCAAAATTCGGATGGTTATTTTTTTTTATATGGCTCATTAGG